AGTTGTGTTTTGATAATTTATTGAAGAAAGAAAAAATTCTTCAAGGTGGCATCTGGAATTTTATTTTGATTGTTACCATGTTTATAATCCTGATTGTAATCCCGATCCTTTCTATAACCTTTAGGTTTAAATTTCTTAAAGCTATCAAAGCTTTATCATGGCTAGATTTAGAATAAGATACAGAAGATATATTATTAAGAATCTTTTCTTTTATAGGTTATCCTTATTGTGATTAAAATTACTTTTTTAATATTTTTACTTCGTTTTAATATATTGATGTTAAAAATATTTTTTTTAAATAAAAATATTATTTTAATAAATTTTAAAATAAAAAATATTTTAAAAAATAACAATTATCAACCTTCCAAATAATTAATGTTCCAAGTCCCCTCTAAAGTATTATAAGTAAGGGGTTAAGCCACCCTTTCTTTAAAAAAAAAAAAAAAAAACTACCGGATAATTGCGTATCCATATCTAAATCTTGCTGAAGAATATCTGATCCTGCAAACAACAAATGCTCATCTGATAAGGGATTCTGTACTCCCCAGGATCCCGTCTATAGGTGGACAAATGCTTACAAGAGATATATCATATATGATGTTGCTTCAGCTAAAAAAAATTAAAAAAAATTCAAGCAATAGCCAACAACTTGGTCAATCACATGGGGTGAGCGCCAATATCTAGCCCCAAGCAACTAGAGCTTGCCATTTAGGGCTGGCCTCAATGGCTCCGTTTTCCATCTTCACCACCATTTCAGGTGAACATCCGACTACCGGATCAAGCTCATATTCATGTCCACGCATCTCAATCCAGGATCGCAAACCATGGAAAGTCTAATCTTCAGTGAAGTTCTTTTCACAAATTCATTAATATACAAATTCCACGTTGCAAAAACTATTAGAATTAGAAATAACGATGATGGTGTGAACAAGATCACAGAGGATCTCTCCTGATAACCATTATTGTTTCTTCCTTTTACTTACCAGTTCTTTATCTAATGAAGTAGTGAGAAAACTCCAAATAGAAATTGTACTTTCCACTGTCTGGTTTGATTTGCCAGTGTTGTCATAGGAAAAAACCCCTAGCTGGCTCTTACTGATATATCATGTCGTTTCCATACATGCTATCGGTGAAAAATATTAGTGATGATCCGCGAGGTGCATACTTTGCATAGAAAAAGCTTGTGCATGCGCAGAAAAATATGTATGTATAAAAAGTTTATGTGGACAATTCATGGAACACCAAGAAATGCATAGAAGACAGTGTCAAGAAGGATTAGTTATACTAGATCAACTCCAATTCTAGGATGGGTTTTTAAACTGAAATTCTAGCCATTTAGACTAACCTAAATAGCTAGGAAACTTCCAACTCATTTGAACTTTAGCCCAAACGACTTTAAAAAATATTTTTTTGAAAAAATATTATTTTTTGTACTATTATCTACCTTAAAAATTAAACATACATGTTTTGAATCCTTTAACCAAGAAAAAAAAAACACTTACTATATAGATATTACTTTTTTTTGGTTAGGATTGCATGAGAATGTTACCGTGACGAATGCTTTGTGGCTTACGTTATTATTTTTTTGTATGAGATTTCCTTAAGTAAATCTTTGCCGATGTTTCTATGTAAGAGAGAAGAATTTAATTGTGTTGCTTGCGAAGAGCAACAATATTATATTAATAAAAATTGAGTGTAAAAGTAAGATGGTTCAGGGAATTCATTTTAAATAAAAACTAGATGCTTGGCCCGCACTACCTCGCGGGTCAATTATTTTTATATAAAAAAACTAAAAAAAATCAAAATTTAAGAGTTTTAAGTTTTTATTAAATCTATACCCAAGAATCTTAGGTCTGATTATAATACTTTATCTAAGAATAATATTTATAATATTAATAATAATAATCATATTAAACTTGTATGACTAAAGTTTAAGTGAGTTTGGCTGCAATAGTAGATCCAAAAACCTTAAAATATAATAAAAAAAATAAAAAAAATTTAATATTACATAATGAAATTAAACAAAAAAGATCAATTGAAAAGAAAAAAAATAAAGCAAAGCACTATTCCAATGAATAGTGCTTTGTGAGAAGGGGCACAATAAAATCTCCTCATGAGATTATAATAATCTGATAGAAAATAAACAAAGTAAATCATAAATTTTAATTTTTAATCAAATCAATATTAAACGATGAAATTTGAAGAAAAAAATACTTAAAAAATAAAATAAAATGAATTAACTGGTTTAACCCACCAAATCAGGTTAACCCGTCAAACTTTGGGTCAATGTCATGAGCGTGTGATAACTAAATAGAAAAAAATAAAAAATACTAATTAAAAAACATCACAGAAAAAAGAAAAAAAAAACCTATAACTAAAATATATCTACCTTTCACTGTGAATTTACACAGTGCAATCCACAGTGAAAGGTATTTTTTTTTTGTTATAGTTACAATGTTAAAAGATAAATTAGAAGAAAAAACACTAATGAAGAAAAAGAAAAGGAAATAATCTAAATCAACTGGATTAACCCATCAAATCAGGTTAATTCATCACACTTGAGATTCGTGTCATGAGAGTACGATAACGAAATAGAAAAAATTAATATTAATGAACTAGATTAAATAAAAAAATTAATGAAAAAGAAAAAAACACAGAAAAAAACCTATAGGAAGAAAAAAATTAATGGAGAAAAAGATAAAAAATCTAAATTAACTGGGTTAACCCATCAAACCTGAAATCCATGTCATGAAAGCCTAATAACTAAACAGAAAAAAATTTAATACCAACAAATTAAATAAAACTAATACAAATTCAAAAGGGGAAAAACCTATAAGAAGAAAAAAAATCTAATGAAGAAAAAAATTTGAATTAATTGGGTTAACTCATCAAACTAGAAATTCATATCATGAAAATCTGATAACTAAATAGAAAAAAATTTAATATTAACAAAGTAAATTAAAAAATAATTAAAAAGAAAGAAAGAGAAGGCATTAGCCTTTTCACCGTGGGTGCACTATGCAATCCACAGTAAAAGACATAAAAAAATAAAATAAAGATATCATCCTTTTCACTGTAGATTGTATACAATATTAAAAGATAAAATTAAAAAAAAACTAAAATAAAAATAAAAATTAGATCAACTGCGTAATCTGTCAAACCAGATTAACCCATCAAATCTGAAATCCATGTCATGAAAGTCTGATAATTAAATAGAAAAAAATTAATATTAAAAAACTAAAGTAAAAAAAAAATTAATTAAAAATAAAGAAACAAAGAAAAAAGCAAAAAAAAAGAAACTAAATACATCAACATTTTTACTGTGGATTGCACTGTACAATCCACAATAAAAAAAATTAAAAAGAAGAAAAAATGAAAAAAAAGGCATACGCCACGAGTTAATTTTTTTTCTTACATAAAAAATATATAAAAAAACAAAGATCTAAGAATGTTAGGTCTTTCTGCAAAGATATACCCAAAAGCCTTAGGTCTAACTGCAACACTTGATCCAAGAGTAATATTTATAATATTAATAATAATATTAAACTTATATAACTTAAGTTTAAGTGAGTTTGATTGCAACATCAAACCCAAGAGTCTTGGATGTGGATCTGACTGTAAGGTCGTGTCATAAAAGTGTGATGATTAAATAGATTAATTAAAAAATAAAGAAAAAAACCTACATGAAGAAAAAAAAAAAACTGAATTAATTAGGTTAACCATATAAACCTAGGATTTGTGTTATAAAAATTTGATAACTAAATAGAAAAAAAAAAAAAAAACTGAATTAATTAGGTTAACCATATAAACCTAGGATTTGTGTTATAAAAATTTGATAACTAAATAGAAAAAAAAAATAACAAGTTAACCTAGAATTAATTAGGTTAACCTGTAAAACTCGGGATACGTTTCATGAAAGTCTGATAATTAAATAGAAAGAAATTCAATGTTAACAAACTAAACTAAACAAAAAAAATTAATTAAAAAAAAAATTCTAGATTAACTCGTTAAATTAGGTTAACCTGTCAAACTTGAGATATATGTTATGAAAATTTGATAATTAAATAAAAAAATTAATATTAAAAAAATTAATGAAAAAAAGAAAAAAAACCCAAAAAGCATTAAAAAACAGCTCCAATAATTAAAATATTAGTATCATAAATTTAAAAGGCATGAAGAAAGCTACAATGTTCTTTTTTTTTTATAGAGCATTGATTAATATTCCATGAGCAGTAAAAAAAGAACTAAAGAAGGATTCTTGATTTTTTTTTTTTGAAGATAAGTGGTCGTGGAAACTTTAAAAACAAGCTCATTGTTGACAAGTGATTGCGGAGAATTGTAAAATTTTAACGGAGAAGCTAGGGCACATAATTGTTTTTTATTTAAAAAATTCAAAATAAAGATATAATTTCTAAAATTTATCTTATTGTAGATAATGTATTATGAGAATTTTTTTTTTTGTTCGTCTAGGTTGCTTCTTTTTCTTCGCAAATTATTAAAGATATCATTTGAGGATAAATCTCTCTAACTATTTTTAGTGCATGACATTCTTCTGTATTGTGCCTATTATCCCGGTGAAAGAAACAAAGCTTGTTGAGATTCTTTATATTTGAGTCCCTTTTCATGGAAGATGGGTATTGTATGAAATATTTTCTTTTTATGGGAGTCGATACCTTAGCACATGTGATGGCGAGAGATTCGTAGTTATGAGTTAATGGAATGTCAGGGTGATCACGAATATGTTTCTTAATGTTTCATTTTTATGCTCTAATAAGAGACTAATATTGTTGTGAAGATTTTGCTATTGGAAAACAAGGGTGTCTTGATCTAGTGACATTTATTCTTTCTACTCGAATATGATTCTTTCATTATTTGTTTTACAGTGATGCAGCAGTTTCACTTAAGATGATTCGGTTTATACCTTGGCTTTCTTGCAATTTGTATTAACAATCTACCTTCTCTTGCCGGTCCTCCTTCGACTAAATTTGTGCACCTCGCAGGCGGACTGTTCTATATGAAGCAATTGAGTTTCTTTGGTGACCATGAAATGTTTTCTTGAATCAAAGAGGATGCCTCTATGTCCATATTTATTGACAGGTGTGAGAAGTTGTTCCTAACAAATTCTTGTACTTCTGCTTTAGTTCCGCTGAGAATGCTTTCCCTTGAAGAATTTAATTTATTCAACTTTTCTATTGTTCGGACAGTTAGCATTTGGTCATCCCTTGGAAGGGACTGAGATAACTGGCAATCAGGTAGAGAATTCTTGGAGAATCGATGGTCAGAGAGCTCAAAAACTTTATTTTTTTCCTCATCAGAAAAACGCACATGCGTTGCAGGATCAGGCACGCCTTGAAACCATTGAGAAATCAACAATAGATGATGAAATCTTGTAAATTCTCAGTTTGTGGAAAGGTTTTAAACCAGGCTCTTGATTTGCTTTCAAGTGTAAGAATTTCTTAAAGGAAATCTTTATAGAGGTTGAATTATTTGCTAGTCATCGCCTGGATTTGTACTCACAGCTCACTCGTATTGTCTGAATAATAACCATAGAACAAATCCCTTTCCTCTTGGTCACTTTGCGCTTGATTTGGGTTTGAAATCATTCTATTGTCTTTGAAACATAATATGTCTCATCTTGAGACCAAGGAATGACGGCTTGAGATTTCTTCTCCGTATAGCAGACACTTCCACCGATGCTTTTGCACCAAAAACATCTCCAATCATGGCCATGATCACATGTGCTTCCGGTGCCATATTGGATTGTAAACAGTATCACATGATTCTCGTTCATAGCTCCGAGTGCAGGATGGAGTAAAGCGACCGCACTAGAGGTTTTGTTCTCTGGGATATGTTAGCAGGTGGTAATCCATCAGCCACTCCCATATTCTGAAAAACGGGTTCCTTTTTTTTCTCTGTTGTCGGGCATCTGCCAAGCCTTTTTCCAGGGCATCTATATAATTTGACTGTATGCATGACAATGATTAGAAACTTTAATCTGGAAGCTCTAGATATTCTGAAATCAGAACAAACGTACGTGATTTAAAATAAGAAATTAAGAGAAAGAATGGTAGAGATTTTTGACGGTACGAAAGCGAGGAAATTTCAGAGCAAGATGACGATGCTCTTTTCTTGGATCTGATTCTCTTCTCTGTAATCATTTCCATCCTTAGTGGGACAGCAAATTAGTGTCTTCTACAAAGTTCGATGAACATTTTATAGAGCTCCCACTCAATCAAATAAAATAAAATAAAATAAAATAACACTTCTTGTTATGATAAATTTAAGTTTACAGTCCCAGCTGCAGTGTGTCAATTTCTCACTCTTGTGGCTCAGTTCACCTTCAACCTTTCTCACTCTTGTGGCTCAGTTCACCTTCAACCAAGTCCGCTGAAAATGGTAGGTTTTTCAGTTCCATCACTTGGTTGGATGCAATGCTTTGACTAATTAGTTGAGATTTCAATGATGTCGCAACAGAGTTTCGAAAATGGTGAGAAGAAACCCGTGGCTGTTGGACCATGGGGTGGTCAAGATGGATATCGTTGGGACGATGGAGTGCACTCCACAGTAAGACAATTGGTGATAGCTTATGGGGCAGGTATTGACTCCCTCCAGATTGAATATGATAAGAAAGGGAGCTCAATATGGTCACAAATCCATGGTGGCAATGGCGGCATGAAAACAGCGGTTAGTCAGTAATAATATTGATGAGAATATTTGTTTCTACTTCTCAGCAGTCATCACAGTGCACTTGGTCTGACAACATAAACTTTGGTTTTTGTTAGTTGCTAGAACAAACTTAGATATAGAACCAGTCTTTTCATCTTGTGATATGGGAATTCCAGATGAACTGTTGAAGTTGGCCATAATTTCGAATGTTGATTACCATATTAATAACATCAAGTAATGGGATCAAATTTTGCAGGTCAAGCTTGACTACCCGCATGAGTTTCTTACTTCAATCCATGGATATTACGGCAGTTTAGATGGTTGGGGTCCTGTATTTGTTCGCTCACTCACTTTTCAAAGCAATAAGAAAACTTATGGACCATTTGGTGTTGAGCACGGAACTTATTTTTCATTCCCAATGTCTGGGGGAAAGATAGTTGGGTTCCATGGCATGAGTGGTTGGTACCTTGATGCAATTGGCATATATTTGAAACCCCTGCAGAAACAGAAGACCTCAAAAGCTCTGGTCCAACCAAAAAGTTACCTTAACAACGAGACTGAGAATCTTAGCTACAAGATGATGCAAGGAGCAGGAAATGGTTTTGATATATTTGTTGCGGTTAAACAGAAGGATGATTTTGGAAGCCCTCTGCCAAACAAACTTTCAGCTCAAAATCCTCGAGAGTACAGCAATGGAGGAACCAACAGAAAGGATGATTTTGGCAGCCCCCTCCCTGGTAAACTCTCAAGACAAATTTCTCGAGATTTCAGTGACATGGAAATCAACAGAAAGGATGATCTTGGCAGCCCTCTGCCAAGCAAACTCTCAACACAAATATCCCGAGAGCTCAGCGATGGAGAAACTAACAAGAAGGTGAGAAGTAATTGCGTAGGTAGTCTATTTTGAGGCTGTGGCATTCTTTTCTTCTTCTTCTTCCTTCTACATTATATTATATGACTTCTAAAACATGACTCTTATCCAGACTGCTGAAAGGGTGCCCTCAAAAGCTGAAGGGGTGATTATATATGGACCCTGGGGTGGTGTTGGTGGTTCAAAGTTTGACGATGGAACCTACACTGGAATTAGGCAAATCCGTTTGTCACGCCACGTTGGAATTGTATCCATAAGAGTTCAATATGATCGTGACGGGCAGGCTATATGGGGAAGCAAACATGGAGGAACTGGAGGGTTTAAATCAGACAAGGTAAACTAGATCTCAAGAACAATTCTATTGAATTTTTGTACCAGTTCCTGTATGAGAAGAAATATCGACTCGAGCGCATTATTTTCTTGATGAACCTTTTGCAGATAATATTTGATTATCCATATGAAATACTCACACGGGTGACAGGAACCTACGGGTCCTTAATGTACATGGGGCCTAATATTATCAGGTCACTTACTTTCTACACAAACAAAGGAAAGCACGGGCCATTTGGAGAAGAACAAGGTCCCTCATTCACAAACAAAATTGATGAAGGGAAAATCGTTGGATTCCACGGGAGGGAAGGTATTCTTCTTGACGCTATTGGGGTAAATGTGTTGGCAGGAACAGTAAAGCCTGCAAAGCATCATCTTTCTGATGCAATTAAGCAAACTGAAGCAGATGTTGCTCAGATAGATAATTCTCCATGGTCGAATAAACTAGTAGTAGCAAAACGAGGACAAACCGAGGAGGTAATGTATATTCACCTAGCTCTTTACATGATTAATGCTACATCACATGCAGTTAACTTAATGCAAGTCCCTTAAAGGTTGTTAAATTTCTCAGGTTGCTTGTGGGGTGATAAAAGAGCCAGCTCCGTGCGGACCGGGTCCTTGGGGCGGGGATGGAGGGAAGCAATGGGATGATGGAGCATTCTCTGGGATTAAGCAAATATTTATAACTAAAGTAGAAGCTATTTGTTCTATACAGATTGAATATGATCGAAATGGCCAGTCTGTTTGGTCTGTAAAACATGGAGGCAATGGAGGAACTGCAACACATAGGGTAATCAACATCCTACTATGTGATGACAATAGGATAAACTGCTTTCCTGTTCATGACTTTCCCACTTAGACTCTAACATGCGATCTGCAGGTGAAATTGCAGTATCCCCATGAAGTGCTCATATGTTTATCAGGATATTATGGTCCCGTCGGCTGTGATGAGAAGAGTCCTAAAGTTGTCAAGTCACTTACTTTTCATACTAGTCGAGGAAAGTATGGTCCATTTGGTGAAGAAATCGGAACATATTTTACTTCAACTACGACTGAAGGCAAGGTGGTTGGCTTCCATGGAAGGAGTAGCGCGTATATGGATGCCATCGGTGTCCACATGCAACACTGGCTTGGAAATCAGAGATCCTCGAAGCCTTCTATGTTCAAAATTTTCGGTTGATCCATAACAAAAATGGTTTTTCAGCATTCTCGAGCAATAAATCCATATTCGATGTGTGATGGGGATTGAGTATTGTAGTTCGAAGATTGGCCCCATCTCGGCCCATCTATTGACTCTACATTCAGTCTTGTGTTTATATTCCAAAGAATAATCCAAACTTTTCTGGGATTTCCCACTTGTTTGGATCCGTGTGGCTTCTTTTTTTCCCAGAAAAATCCATGTATAAATATCTTCGATATTGAAGGAATATTTAATATTTATCACCCGATATTCATCTATCAATGAAGTCATACGTCCTAATTGATAATCATATCAATTTTGATATAATTTAAATGATTTTAAAAAATAAAAAAAATAATTAGCATATATAAATTAATTTTGATCGATAATCTTGAAGCACTCGAGTTATTTTTGAAATACAAGTATTATATTGTTCATGTGAAAAAAATCCCTAAAAAATAAAAGATGAAAACAAAAATCTAATAATCTAGTCACCTTAGGTCATATCATCATAAAAGAGATATATTTTATAACCTCTTACTTATAACCCAATCAACATAATTAATGAGTCCATTAAACATTGTTAAACATCTATGGTTTGCTCATAAGATCATAAATTGTAGACAAAAATACAGAACAATAGACAATAGTGCACGATAATAAGAAAAAAATAAAATAAGATTAACAAAGTTGCAGATGTGAAGAAAAAGACAGAACAGTAGTGCACGATAAAGAAAAAAAAAATAGTAAGATTAACAAAGTTTTTAAACATGACATACGGCTTGGCTCCAGGTTAATTAAGTTAATTTTTCTATAAATATCAAAACAATTTCATTTTTTTAAATTAATAAGTTTTTATAAAACCTAAGCTTAGGTAAAGTTGGATAAGCATCTACTATAAATGCTACGGATGTATTTTTTCCCCTAGACATGACCATTCAATAATGATCTCCAAGGCTTAAAAAAAAATTAAAATAAAAGAAGAAAATGACTATTACTTCTTCAATTTAATTCTATATGCAAAATCTATTTGGGCCTAGCTATCGGTACTCGGTGCTGTAGGAAAAGGCCCAGTTACCTGGATCCACATTTTGGATACACTTAGATAGACCCATTTGGAGGCTCACCAACAGCGTAGGCTATCTGGCTCAATTAAGAGGCGCATAGGAGTTAACTTTGGTCCATCAACTTTGGAGCCTGTAGGTGGAATAAATGGGCTTGTCAAGGCCTACTACCCATGAAAGCAAGTGTATTTAAGCCTGAGGCCCACATGTAAAAATCAATGTTCATCAACAAAATTAACTAGCGTAAAAATCCAGGGTCAAATAAATTAAATGCCCTTTGAAATTCTCTCAATTAAATTTCATTTTAAATTTTTTAATGAAATTTCATATTTTGAGTTAAATTTAGTGTCAAAAATTAAACTTCAGATGAAATTTATTCTTTAAAAATAGTACAAAAATAAATCAGAAATTATTTTTTCTAATTTACAACATTATAAAAGAGAAATTAATGTTAAAATTAACTTTACAAAAATACCCCTCTCTCTCTTTTTTAATTTAAAAAAAGACCTTTGAACGAGTATGATGAAGGTGATTAGGTTAACATAAAAAATGTAATGAATTGAATATTAACTTGAATTCAACTTATTTGTTAATTGAATTCAAATTGAATGATATAATTAAATTTAATTAAAATAAGGGATCGGTTTCAAACATAAGAACGAGTATGATGAAGGTGATTAGGTTAATATAAAAATTATAATGAATTGAATATTAACTTGAATTTAACTTATTTCTTAATTGAATTCAAATTGAATGATATAAATAAATTTAATTAAATAAGGAATCGGTTTCAAACATACCTTAAAAAATTAATGAGGATATCAACATCATCCAAGGGATGTCTAATGGTATCGACATAAGTGGTCGTAGAAGATTCAAATGACCTATCAAATCAAGACTGTTTTTTTTGTAGGTGATTAATTAGAATTAATCATCCGAAATCATTTTTAAGATAAGAGGAGAGTTCGATATTCAATTCTCAAGTCCATCGAAAACTCGAGGAGAAATCTACATACATCGTTTACTTGTTCAATATTCTGGAGATGAGAAGTTTGAACTGCCAAGATAGCGTAATCAAAATGTTAAATACCATGTATAAACAATTAATTTTTTCCATATAAATAGTCAAAATATATCTTTCATTGTATATTCTCCATATTGCATATTATGAGAGTTGATGTTCGCTATGCTCTTGAAGATAGCTGTATTTTAGAGTTTGTTTGAAGATGTAGTTATAATTATTTTTTAAATAATATTTTGTGTTTAAATATATGTTAATGATTTTTTTTATTTTTTAAAATTTATTTTTAATATTAATATATAAAAATAATTTGAAAACACTAAAAATATATTAATTTAAAATAAATAAAAAAATTTTAAGTTTTTTCAAAAACATTTTTAAAACATAAAAATAAATAAATCTACACTCAAATAAACGAGTGGCTCTTCTATTATGATTTAAATTATAAGATACTATTATGTCTTTTCATGCATTCTATTGCCTCACAAAAAAATAATAATTAATATCGTATAGTATAATCTGAACTCATTTACCTGACAAAAAAAAAAAGGAAACAAAGCTTTTAATTTTTTTTATTTTTTTTTTGTTCAAGAATCGTCCTTTCCATCAACTTTGGAGCCTGTAGGTGGAATAAATGGGCTTGTCAAGGCCTACTACCCATGAAAGCAAGTGTATTTAAGCCTGAGGCCCACATGTAAAAATCAATGTTCATCAACAAAATTAACTAGCGTAAAAATCCAGGGTCAAATAAATTAAATGCCCTTTGAAATTCTCTCAATTAAATTTCATTTTAAATTTTTTAATGAAATTTCATATTTTGAGTTAAATTTAGTGTCAAAAATTAAACTTCAGATGAAATTTATTCTTTAAAAATAGTACAAAAATAAATCAGAAATTATTTTTTCTAATTTACAACATTATAAAAGAGAAATTAATGTTAAAATTAACTTTACAAAAATACCCCTCTCTCTCTTTTTTAATTTAAAAAAAGACCTTTGAACGAGTATGATGAAGGTGATTAGGTTAACATAAAAAATGTAATGAATTGAATATTAACTTGAATTCAACTTATTTGTTAATTGAATTCAAATTGAATGATATAATTAAATTTAATTAAAATAAGGGATCGGTTTCAAACATAACTTAAAAAATTAATGAGGATATCAACATCATCTAAGGATGTCTAATGGAATCGACATAAGTGGTCGTAGAAGATTCAAATGACCTATCAAATCAAGACTTTTTTTTTGTAGGTGATTAATTAGAATTAATCATCTGAAATCATTTTTAAGATAAGAGGAGAGTTCGATATTCAATTCTCAAGTCCATCGAAAACTCGAGGAGAAATCTACATACATCGTTTACTTGTTCAATATTCTGGAGATGAGAAGTTTGAACTGCCAAGATAGCGTAATCAAAATGTTAAATACCATGTATAAAAAATTATTTTTTTCTTATAAACAGTCAAAATATATCTTTCATTGTATATTCTCCATTTTGCATATTAGGAGAGTTGATGTTCGCTATGCTCTTGAAAATAATTGTAATTTATAGCTTGTTTAGAAATGTAATTATAATTATTTTTTAAATAATTTTTATGTTAAAATGTATGTTAATAATATTTTTTTATTTTTTAAAAATTATTTTTAATATCAGAATATTAAAATGATTTGAAAACACTAAAAATATATTAATTTAAAATAAATAAATAAATTAGATTTTTTTAAAATACTTTTAAAGTACAAAAATAAATAAATTTACACTCAAATAAACTAGTGGCTCTTCTATTATAATTTAAATTATAAGATAATATTAGGTCTTCTCATGCATTCTATTGCCTCAAAAAAATAATAATTAATATCGTATAGTATAATCTGAACTCATTTACCTGACAAAAAAAAAAGAAGGAAACAAAGCTTTAAATTTTTTTCTATTTTTTTTTGTTCTAGAATCGTCCTTGAATGGAAGGATCATGCTAGTATTTTTTTTTAATTATTTTTATTGCATTATTCATTTAACTGTTAAGTTTTTTTTTTTATATTTTGAAAATTTCTGGGTAAGTTAAATTCATAATTTGATGAAAATGTTCAGATCTTTTATAAAGCTCGAAAGATCTTGGCACTTGTGATCTTTTGAATTTAGGCACAGTACTCCCTTTATCGTATATGGAATCATTATTAGCTGTCTAAGCAAGGGCTAACACAACCTTTCAAATCAATAATTATTGTGAAATATCAGGCTGGTGCATCCCATATATGCACATTAATAACATAATCATCCAGCTGGTTTTATGAAAAAGGTTAACCCATATAAAAACGAGGGACACAGCCTGCTCCACAGCATAAACTGATGTCACAGACATCAATCAATATCTCAAAAAAACTAAGCTGGGTGATGTAAATTTCTTGATGCAATTGCAATGTATATTATTCGAAGAATTTAGTAATTTCCATGGTTAATGTATGCTGTGGATCGTTAATTTAGAAGATTGACATGGCCTGGGAGATCGATGGGACCTTTGATTAATTTTTTTGATCCCAGATTATACTGGTGGGAGGTTGAATTGTTATTTTTTATTTTAAATTAGTATTTTTAAAATTTTTAATATATTACTATTAGAAATAAGTTTTTAAAAATAAAAAAAAATATTATTTTAATATACTTCTAAATAAAAAATACTTTAAAATATATACTTTGCCCAAATGACAAAACAATCACCTAATAATTGACCAGGATTTGCTGTTAGATTTTGTTCCTGTGGCCCGCCATTTTGCTTAGAGAGGAGGAACACTCCACATTCAGATTAATAACCACATATTCACATTTTGTTCTATGATTTGTTTGTTTTGCAGATGGACGTGTTTTGTCCAATATAAGAAACAAAATGTACCCGAAGGGGATAACAAAGAATAATGAGTGCACTCATCCACAATATATATATATATATATAAACTTAAAGCTTTTATACTCTTTTACCTATTCTATTTTAATACTTTTATAGCTTTTTTTTTAATTTGAGTATATATACTTATGGAATTTGATCAATCAAATACCTCTACTAGTTTTATTATCAAAACATCGATGTGATAGTTAACTCTTTATTTATAAGGGCTCCGTCGTTGTTTCTAGAAACAATAATTGAGTACTTATACTTTATAATTGTTTCTGTTTGAGTACATGTACTATTTCTTTT